TTTTTAAGAAGCCGAGAGAGGAAAGGAGAGCAAGTATATATTTATAGAGTTTGTTATATTAACTGTCTTATTTGCCATTTTCATTTCTTCCTCTCACTTTTAGTTACCGTATGGTATAATTTCCTTACTATATTATACTTTTGCTCCTACTCACCTCCTCTTTGGTATTATCAACTATATTGCATTTCAATATTTTAGGCCCCCAAATACACTTATATGCATATTTTTGGCACAGCTGTTTTTTAAATAAACTAAGGGAAAGAAGAAATATGCATTTATATTGTGTTTTATAATTACATAGTTATCAGTGCTCCTTGCTCTTTCATATAGATTTATATTACTATCTGTGGTCATTTACTTTCAGCCTGAACTTCCCTTAATATTTCTTATGAGATATTCTGATAGCAACAAATTCTCTCAGTTTTATTTATCTGAGAAGGTCTTGAGTTTGCTTTCACTTTTGAAACATTATTTTTCTGGATATAAGTTTCTTGACCTAGTTTTGAAATCCTAGCACTTTAAATATGTCCTCTCACTGCCTTCCAGTCTTATTGTTCTTGATGGGAAGTCAGCTGTTAATCTTTTTGGGGTTCTCTTCTACTTGATGAGTTCTTCTTCTGGCTGTTTTCAAGATATTTTTCTTTGTCTTTTAACATATCAGGTAAGAGGTGTCTGGCTGTGGATCTTTTTGCATTTATCCTTCTTGAACTATGTTGAATTTCTTGGATGTGTAGATTACTTTTTTAAAAAATCAAATTTGGGAGTTTTTAGCCATTATTTTATTGAAATATTTTTTTTTCTACTCCCTTGCCTCCCTCCCATCATTCTGGTAGTCTCATTATGCGTAGGTTGCTGCTCTTAATAATGTCCAACATTTCTCTAAGGCACTATTGATTTTTCTTCATCCTTCTATCACTGTTAATTGGATTGTGTAGCTGGTATCAACATATCTTCAAAATCATTGATTCTTTCTTCTACCAATTCATATCTGCTTTGGGTCCCTTTAGTAAAGTTTTCATTTCAGTTGCTTTATCTTCATCTCTATTATTATTTCTGATTTGATGAGACATTGTCATCATAGTTTTGAAAGCATAGTTTCTATTAGTTCTTTGAATGTATTATAGTGGCTGCTGTGAACTTGTTTTAAGTCCAAGATCTAGGCCCTCATGGAGATAGTTTTTGTTGCCTTCTTGTCCCCCCACCCCCTGTATTGGTCATGCTGTCCTGCTTATTTTCATGTCTAATAATTTTTTGTTGTTGAAAACCAAACATTTGTGATAATATATTGTAGCTACTCTGGTTGCTGATTTCTCTTTTCCTAGGTTTGTTGTTACTATTTGCTTGTTTATCTGCTTAGTAACTTGGCTGGAGTACTTAAGTGAAATCTATCTCCCATGCAGCATGAAACCTCTGATGCCATTCTTGGGAAAGTGCAGCCTTGGATATGAGCACAGTCACCCTTGGATGACTGATTTTAGCAGGGCTCTCTTTTGCTGCCTACTTTCCTGATCTCTCTGCTAAAACTTTTGTCTGTTGGTATCACAGCCAGCTGTTAGGCTCCACTAATTGCTGGCTGATTACTCTGGTTTTCAGTGACGTCCTAGTACATACAGTGCTCCACAGTCTGATCCAGTTACATCAGGGCCTTTTACAGAGCTAGTCTTTGAGGTTTCTTCCTGACTTCAGGAGGGCTCATCATAGTAGTTATCTCTTTACTTGGTTCACTCTGGTAATCTAGTTGGCCTATATTTTTTTCTTATTGCTTTCATAGAGCTATCAACCTCCACTTAATTATCTACACCAAAATCTCCATTGTTCTATGAGAATCCCTTAGGATTAAACTTGCCCACATTTTATTCCAAATAAATGGTCTGGAAAGAGTTTCTACATATTTTATTCTTTTACCTTCTCTCTGTGCAAAAATCTGAGTCACTGCTTTGGATATGGGAGCAGGGACAATGATCTACTTCTTTTGGAGTGCCATTTTTGCTCTAATGACCAGGGCATTGGGCCGGAGCAGTAGCTTCTGGTCTTCCCAGCTTGCTTCTCCCAGTGTGGAATATCCTCTGTATGAGCAAACTGTGGTGATAGTAATTGACTTCAGTGTTATAAGCTATCTTTGCCAGTGGGGCTAAGAGTGGGTTGGAGGGAGGAAGGGAGCCCCTGGCCTCTTTGTCACTCTTGCTTAGAAACTAGCCTCTGAAACAGGCAGCTAGGAGAGGATGAGAAATATTGGCACCTGTCCATCCCAGGGAGATATAGCTAGTAGCTTGGGGGAAAGGGAGCCCTCTGTGGAATAGAAGTTAAGCTGCGAGAGAAGTGGCAAGGGAGGGAGTAGATCATGACTCAATTGACATAGGCTCTCCTTGTTCTTACCAAGATTTATTAGATTTTCTTGAATAAATGTTTCTTCATTTACTGTATTGCCCTTAGGCAATTTCTAGAGACTTTAAATAGTTGTTGGTGTTTTAAAATAATTTTTACCAGGTAAGGTTGTTTTGTTAGGGAGCGAGGCTACAGAGCTCCTCATACTGCTGTGCCAGAAGTTATGTCTCTCTAATTATCCTTAGATGAAACTGATTAGGGTAAAGGAAACAAATTAGTATAAAAACAAAGAGAACAAACCTGAATTCTAACTAATTTGGCTATTAGTGGTAATTATTATTTACAGATAGCTTGTTTCTAGCTGATTAACTGAAAACTTAATTCTTTTCTGTTATAACTCTATCAAAAAATTATATGTTGAGTGATAAGGTTCTAATGTAGTTTGACTTTTTAAATAAATTCCAAGATTTGGATATCAAATTCCAACAGAGCATTAAATAACCACTATAGAAGATTGAAGAATTGGTGGTTATATGCATTTTCTATGATGGGGATCTTTTATTATAGAAAATGTCAATGTGGTTATCAACTCAGAGTCTGGATGGGTTTCAGCATATCTTCTCTGAGCCATCTCTCACATTTGCAGAGCTGACACAAATAAATTTTTTCTTACAGAGCACAGTCTTTGATTTAATTAATCAAGAAATCCTTATATAGAGTATCAGCTGCCTAGAAAGTCACTGTGCAAGTAAACATAGATAACTCCACAAATGTAGTACAAGATACCTGTCTCCAAGAGGATAATCATCACTCAGGTGATATAGTTTCCAAACAAATGAAAAAATAACTTGTAACATAAAATAGCATAGTTCAATGATAGATGAATAGTGCAGAGAGGTTCGGAGGAGGGTTTGGTACTTTAAGGTTGAAGTCATAGGTTTTAGTTAAAGCAGGGGCTTCAAATAGATATATATATATATATATATATATATATATATATATATATATATATATAATCTTTTTCTGATAGATCTTCAACTTGGGCAGGGCTCAGCAGGATAAGGCTTGTCTCTGCTCCTTAGCTTGGGAGATATTGGTGGTTGCTGGTAATTAACTGAGGGCTGGAGGATTTGCTTTCAAGATGGTTCCCTCATGTGACTAGTAAATTGGTACTGGCTTTTGGGGAGCAGCTCAACCAGAGCTCTTGGTTTCTCTCCTGGAAAGTTCTACAGAGAAAGCAAGGAAACCGAGGACTTGCAAAGGTCCTTGGAATTGCATACATTAGAATCCAAGAATATTAGAGTTTCAGTGGAAGAAACCACATTGTAAAAAGATGAAGGGGGTGAATATTGCAGCAGGTTTATCTCTAGTCCAGAGAGTAAACAGTAAAAGGAGAGAAATTGGTTGATAGCAGAGAAATCATTCAATCAGATAAAGGTTTCTTTCAAGGTAAGGGAGATCAAATTATCACAGAAGGCAGAAGAGAAAGAAAAATGTTTTATATGTGGCTTGCTTTAGACTTGGTTTCTAATACTATTGTATTTGAATAGTCTACCTGGAACTACTAAGGATTTTCTTGACTCTCCTGGGTCTTGATGTTTAGATGCCTCTGTGCCCCAGGGAGCAAGAGTCTGAGATTTTTGAAGCATTTTTATAACATTATATCTTTATATAACCTGAATCTAAGTACTTCCTGTCTTCTTGGAGAAGTCTCCTTCACAGATTAAGACAAGTGTGAGTACTTCCTGGCCTCAAGCTAAGTGAAATAGGGCCAGTGGGGCAGGCAAAAGTATGATGCTGAGTGGAAATTTGCATAGGAATTGTAAAAATTTTCTCTCAAAATCTGTGTGACTTTATTCATAATCACCTACTGATAGCCAGAGCTAAATGATACTGGAAGACCCATAAAGGACTATGCTCATGGTTTGTCAATAGTAGTTAAAAGGATTATTAGCTGTTGAGGGGTCTCATTGCTAGAATTGATGACAGGGAGGCAACTTAGAGCTACTACTGAGAGCCGTCATCTCTGAGGGCAACTGCTGCTGCTGAGAGTTCCTGCTATCCTAAACTCCAGGGTAGAATGTTCAGGGGGAACCAACTTTAGCTCCTGACAATCATCACTGACAGGAGCAAACTCAGTTGGGCTTTTCTTAAAGACACTACTACCTTGACTGGCAAGGTCAATAAATCCTGCTCTGAGTTTCTGAGAGGAAACCCTCCAGGGAGCTAAATTTAGCTTAAAAAACAAGGCGCATTCTTTGGCCAGTGACCCAGTCTGCCCTCCTAGCAAACACTGATCTTAACGTTGATGGGAAGAATGGGTTGACACTCAATAGAGGTCAAGTGAAGAACAGATAGTATGGTAAAAAGAGCATGAGCCTTGGAGCCTATTTGAGACAGGTTTAGGTTTGTATGCATATTTGCTAGTTTCAGTTTCCTTGTAGATAACATTAAAAAAAAAAACTCCTATCATGGTGTTAGAGGGAGGGCTGAATGAGATAAGACATGTAATAGAGCCTGGTATGTTGCAGGTACTCAAAATGTTATTGCCAATAGTGTTCTTTCCTATCTGGACCCATGTGAAATGAAGGCCATGGGACTCCAAGGCATCCAGCCAGTTACTGAATCCTTGAATTATATCCTGCTTTTTACATGGAAATAATGTAGGAGGCTCTAGTTTGAGAAAACTATTAAATAAAGGACTAGAGGCAGATCCCATGACTCTGAGAGCCTTCACATTGTTACATGCATATGGACTCGTGACTGATCCTAGAAACATCATGTGTCCAAGGACCAACATACCCATTCCATGTGTTTCTAATGTTGACTCTAGACCTCATTATCATTAAACTGTTCAAAGGATCCTAGTCACAAAAGATGTTGTTTCTGGAAAAAGTTTTCAATATGTTTGCGTCTCCTTATGTATAAAAGATGGAAGCCACATTTCTCTTTCAAAAACTCACTGCTTGATTAATTTCTCCTTGCCCAGCTTTAGGCTTAATAGCTGGATGATTTGGGTCTCACTTTGCAATTCAAAATCTTAGCTTTCCAAAGATGCTTCTTGATTTGATGTTCCAGGTGGCTGAGAAGAAATGGACATTAAGTGATTGCTTATGGCTTTGAAAGGTCATGATCTGCTTCATGCAGGCTAGAGAATGTCAATCTGCACCTGAACTTTAAGCCTCATACTTTTCTGATTATGGATATAAATCATGTGACATTGGCAAGTAGCTCATTCTCATGCATATCCAATGCTCAATTAAGGCAGGACTCAGAGCTGATGGGCACTTCTGTGACTGGCATTTCAGGGTTATATTTATTTCCTTTCTCCCTTAACTCCTACATCAAAGGAATTTGAGTAGTTTGGCTGGTAGGCAAAAGGGAAAGCAATTCTTCACTTTGCATGTAATCATTTACACATTTAGAGCTCTCACAATGTGTTATTCTTTCACAACTCAAATTTTGCACATAATCCATTTACTTAGGATAAAATAGCCGACACACTTTAAGAAAATATTGCAAGAATTATGGATGTGAGCATTTAAAACTTTGTCATACGCTAAAAATCCATAAAGTTCAGAGATACACTGCTATTTTTGGTGTAGCATCAAATCATTGATCTGATAAGGAACAGTTTTGAACATTATGAAATATTATTTGCATCTAGAAATTGGTACAGGTAAAATAATTTAAAATGTTGCCCACATATATTGCATCTTTAATACACTCAAAGTCCGTGAAGTAGATTCACATGTTTGTTTAACAAATGTTTATTAAGAGTGTGTTTTGTGTGAAACCTTGAACTAGCATTTTAAAGATTTTTATTTATTTACTTTAGAGAGAGAGAGAAAGTGTGAGCTAGGGGAGGGGCAGAGAGAGAGAAAGAATGAGAGTCTCAAGCACACTGTGTGCTGAGCATGGAGCCAGACCTGGAGCTTGATCCCAGGACCCTGAGATCATGATCTGAGCTGAAACCAAGAGTCGGATGCTTAACTGAGCCACAACTTGTGTGAAACCTTTGAACTAGCATTTTAAAAGGTATCATTATAGGTGGATGTACAGACAAATTTTATACACACATAATTAAGACAAGTACAGAATATTATACGTTTTTTAAAGGAAACAGTGTGCAGGAATGGTGAATTTTGTGAGGTGATCTACTTTACATAGAACAGTCAAGGAAAGATGCCATAGGATTTAACTAAAGTAACATTTAAGCTGAAACCTAAAATGAGAAGCCACCTATTTGGTGTGTAGCAGTAAAGGTGTGTTAGGCAGAGGAAAAGCAAGTACAGAATCCCTGAAAGGGAGTTTGGCATGTTGTAGAAATTCAACATAGTGTGACTGGAGAAGCATGAACAAAGAGAAGACTAGAATGATATCAAGTGGGTTTTCTGATTATCCCTAGTTAAGATGTGAAGAAGGTGGGACTCAGGGAGCAACTGTTCAGGCATACAGAAGCAATAAATATCCAATCTGGGCATAACATCTTGGCCTTCCAATTGTAAATCCCAAGCATGTTCTGCTATTCTAAGAACAGGGAGATGAGGGAAAAGATGGACAAAGGATGCAAAGGATGCAAAAGGATGGTGCCTGGCCCCTTGAAAATTTGTAGTTAACGGCAGACATGGATTTACCATATGCTGTCTTATTGATTCATTCATCTATGAGTCCTGACAAAGTTCTAGCACGGTAAAAATGAGGGAAAAAAATTATGGCAAACCACAGTAGAAATCCGCATTCTTTAAAAAGCTTAAAAGTCAATTATGAGGAAGGCAAAAGTGGAACTTAATATTGTAATTGCAATGCTAGTTCATCTTTCTCAACTTCATCGACTGCTGGAAGCTTTTGGGGACCTGGTTAGTTAGTTAGTTAGTAGGTGCCACACCTAGTTGGACCTCAACACAGGGCTTGAACTTAAAACCCTGAGATCAAGACCTGAGCTGAAATCAAGAGTGGGATGCTTAACCAACTGAGCCACTTAGGCACCCCTGTTGGGGGACCTTTCATCATTTAGTTGGTAAAAACACGAGCAAGTTGTTATATCTAGGAGTTCAGGCTTCTGTGTTCCATGGTCTTTTGTCTTGATTTTGAAGGAAAATCATTTTCATTCTAAGATGTAGCAGATGCCTCTGGAATTAGATATTGTCCTAACTGGAGAAGATGGCCCCTGTAGGAGAAAAGTAGAGTGGTGTTATCCTCTAACTTGCTTAAACATCAGAGCTACTAAGAATCTTGACTGGAGTCAAATGGGTTGGGATACTGGCATTTTCAAGCTCACTAACACTTGAAAGAAGTAGTAATTATAAGGGTTGTCCAGTTGGCAGGTTCAACATAACCAACCACTAACTCAGGGCACAATGTGCAACCCTAAAGGCCTCTCTTATGGCCTTAAAGAGACCGTCCCGTACTGTTAGCAGAGGATAAATTGGGCTAAAAATCAGGCCAGGAACCTAATTGGGAGTCAAATTGCTGAGAGGACTTGATACACAACCTCATCAAATCACATATACTGAAACAGAGAATTGATAGGGAAAGAATGTGCCGGGGACATCTAGATGGAAGAATTTGAAAGCCCCACATTATCAAAATCCCTTTTGAACTCTCCATGCCTTCAGAAGTGGTCCATTATTTCTTGCCTAGAAACTATTACAAATATTTCCCTGAGGCAGAAGCCTTATAAAATGATAACATTCCTTCCTCAAGATTTGTCTCCACCTCTCTTAGGACATCCAGGGCAACTAGGAGAGGAGGATCCACTCACAAAGTTTCCCAACTGGTAAGATACTGTTGCAAAAATTGAAATGAAATACACAAGAGTTTTAGTTTTATATTGCCGTTGTAATAAGTTACCATAAATTTGCAAAATGAAGCTATACAAATTCATTATCTGACATTTCTGTAGGTCAGAGGTCTGGCACCATCTCACAAGGCCCAAATCAAGGTGTTCTCAGGGCTGCATTCCTTTTGGAAAGTTCTGAGAGAGCATCCATTTCTTTGCTTTTTCTAGTTCTAGAGACTACCTGCACTCTTTGGTTCGTGGTCAGGTGTTCCACCTTTAAGGCCAGCAAGGGCAGGTTCAGTTCTTTTCGCATCACATCATTGTCATCTTCTCTTGGGCCTCCCTCTTCTATCTATTAGGACTCTTCTTATATTGACCCAGCTCAGATAATCCAATATACTCTCGCTATTTTAAAGTGAGCTGACCAGCAACCTTAATTCCATCTGCAATCTTAATTCCTCTCTACCACGTAATGTAGCAAATTCCCAGGTCTCAGGAATTAGGATTAGGCATTTTGGAGAGGTTGTTCTTATGCCTGCCATAAAATATAACGATGCTAAAACTAGGGTGGGATATATGGCAAATGCTCAGCGAACATTTGCTATTATTCCCTGCTTCTAATTCTTGGGCTCCTGCTTCTAGGTGGAAAAAAAACACAACCATCTGAATCAGAGGCATCTCAAACCCAATGCTCTCCCCTGTTCTCAGTAAAATTCTTCTCTTCTTCTATCTCTAATGTCCCTAAACTACCATTTCCTTCCCTTTCCCCAGTCTCTCTGTCATCCCCATCAGCAGATGATTTTGTTGCCTATTTTGAACAAAAAACTGAAGCCATTTGGAGTTGAATGACATTAACCTCTGGTGTTCCCACCCATTTATTTACCTACTCCTGCTCCCATTCTTGGGTCTTTTGCCACTGTTGTGAGAGACTGGAGCTCCTTCCTCTTACTCATGGTCAACTCCACCCATATTCTTGGTGCCTCCGTTAACTTGAGGACATGGCTCCCATCCTCTCTTCTCTCTACTTTTTCCTTGCATGTTTCTGTGGACCATTACACCCTCTGTGAGCTGCTGTCTGTAATCTCTTGCTTTCCACAACAAGCTTCTGTGGCACCGTTCTCTCCCGGCTCTACTGTTACCTCTCTTATCACTTCTTGATCTTCAAAGTCTCCCCTTCCTCCACTTGCCTCTTAATTTGTGGAATATCCCAGATCCCATCCTCAATTCCTGCTGCTCTCATTTCATTGTGAGGAGATACACTGTAATCTCCATCCAATGCATGGTGCTCACTGTTTTCATCTTCCAAGCCTGAGCACTTTCAGGAAGCCTTCCTGTGACTCTTGCCCATGCCTTTCCTCTGAGTTCCCTTAGTTCTCAGAAAACTATATCTAAGAATTAACATCATAATATGTTGAAATTATATCTTAGCTGGTCTGTCTTCTCTATGAACCTGTGTGCTACATGTGGATAAAGATTTTAGTGATCTTTCTTTCTCTAGTGCCAACTACAGAGGCTGATGCACAATTAACTTTTTAAAATTTTTTTTATTTTTATTTATTTATTTATTTATGATAGTGAGAGAGAGAGAGAGAGACAGAGAGAGAGACAGAGACAGAGACACAGGCAGAGGGAGAAGCAGGCTCCATGCACCGGGAGCCCGATGTGGGACTCGATCCCGGGTCTCCAGGACCGCGCCCTGGGCCAAAGGCAGGTGCCAAACCGCTGCGCCACCCAGGGATCCCCCCACAATTAACTCTTGATGTAAGTTTGTTAGTGTATCTATTTGAATAGAAAACAGAAAAATAATGCCAAATTTATAAAATTCTGCACTTAACTCTATCATGTGGATACTCTTCTATAAAGCGAAATAACTTATTTCCTAACCAAAAGTTGTTAGTCTCATTTGACTTTGCATATATATACCAAAAAAGAAAAACTTTTTTTGCTAGGCTGGTTAATATATAGCCATAAACAATATGGTATAAAGTAACTTTTCAAATATCAGCTTCCAATTTCTATATTCAGAATGTTTTCATTGCTCAACACATTTTTGGAGCTGCATTTATGGAAATGTGCTTAGATTTTTGCAGTGCTCCTGCGGCTCTGAATGTCCATAATATGGCTTTTTTTGTGATGGATGGGTGATTAAATGCTCTCAAAGTCCCCAACTGATATCAGATTCACGCAATACTTACTGCAGCCTCGACCTAATAGGTCATTTTAATGACAACGAAATTTGGCAACTTAGTTCTTAAATTTTCTATTTATGTCAGGAAACCAAGGAGGAGTAGATACCTTTCTTTTTCTCTGACCTTTCTCCTACCTGCGCTGTAAAATTGTCAAAGTCCCCTGGAATAGCTGCTCTGTTGTCCTTGTAAGGGATGCATGCTTTATTGATGGATGAAATGATATATCTGCATGCCAGATATAATTTTGCAAAGTCCTTCGGCTTGACGGAGGTTGCACAAACAAGAGAAAATGCTTGGAATAAATGCTTGGAAAAAGCTGCAAGTGCAGCTTTTTTAGTTGCTTCTCAAATCTAGGAAAACCCACGTTAAGAAATAGTGTTCGGTACAGTTTGTGATTCAACCTAACCATGTACCGGGCCTTCCTTTTCTATATCAAGCATATTGAATAATCCATCTCCAGAGATCTGCGTGGCTTCAGATAATGGAAACATATTTAGGTCACCTGAAGAATAACTCACATGTTGTTTTTTAACCTAGCATTACAGGATAGGAGTTGTCTCAGCTTGCTTTGTCTGTACAGGAAGCACTCGATAAATATCTGGTGAAATAAATCCAGGTCAGACGATGTCCCCAATGCTGGGATACAAAGATAAATAAGACACATTTCTACCCTGGAGGAGCTGACAATGTGGCAGGAAAGAAAATCAGAGAAGCTAACAAAAGGGGATAATAAAATACGGTAGTAGCAAAATGTTATGGGAATCTAGTAAAGAGTAAGATTAATTGTTAGGTGAAACCCGGGGAGGAATCACAGAAAAGGTGATATCCTTCAAGACCCAGTAGGCAGAGAAGCTAGAGGAGACAGGAGACAGGAGAGGGTGGTTAGGAAGCACGTATGGGGTCTCAATGAGTGAGCACACGGAGTGTCTTCGTGGAACTTGATGTAGGTTAGTTTGGTTGAAGCATGAAGATGCTAAAGGAGGGCAATAAATCAGGTCTAGAAAAGCAGACTGAGTTTGGGTTGTTAAAGGCATCATAAATCATACAAAGGAGTTTGAATTTCATTTTCCCCATCGAAAACTCCATGTTGCCTGGAAGACTGGGTTTCCCAAAGGCTATTCCTGGGCATGCAAGTTCTAAAGGATGTTCGGGGTGGGGGATTTATACCAAAATACCTATTTAGCTTTTAGTTAAAGGTGGAAAGGTAATCATGTGGAGCCCAGTTGTGAGAAGTGGCATTGGTAGGGAATTTCCTGAAACATGTACAGTCCACCCATCTCTTAGATAAATGAAGTAAAAACTAAATTAAACTGCATACTTAGGCCAAATAGTTCTGCTGCCCCCCTTGATGGATATTACTATCGTGTTTTTCAATAAGATGAGTTTGGCCTGCGCCGAGAATTGTAAAAGGAAATGATTTGATGAGACATTTATGTGCGCTTCTTCTGAACAGAGGGTTTGTCTTTATCTTGAAGGCACTGGGAGTGTTGTAATGGATTATGTGTCCTTTGTCATGAATACTAGTTAAACCTAGAGCCAACTTTGCGGCTCACCTCCGTAGGAGGGTCCTTAGGGTATGTGTTCCTGGGTAATAACCGGACTCAGAATTTTGTGTGACTTTCTACATTTGTATTCCCTTTGCTTAATTTACTTATTTGATCCTATTGCAAGTTTTTGTAACCTCTCTGTGATCCTTCTTGGAAAGAAGAGCTGGGATTAGGAGAGATATCAAATGTACATCACTCACCAGTGTCCGGCATACAACACCTACCAAACAAGGCCTTGCTTTTGTTGCTGTGGTTTTTATCAGTTCCACCTCCTCCATTGTACAGTTCTCAGGGTTGACAGAAATGGAAAGAGAGCGTATACTAATGGATGGAAATGATTTCCAAGATCTTTTTGCCATGGTCTTAAGTCGCATTAAGCACACAGAGCAGTGGACAAGCCTGAGTTGAACAATTAGCGATCCCAGGTCTCCAATCTTGTGCTGTGAAAGGGACAAATCAGTAAATCAAAGAGAAATGGTAAATGAAGCCTCTCCTCTAATTAGGGAGCTAAGTTATCACTGTGGGCCTCAGGATCCTTATCTGAAAAATGGGAAAACTAACAAAATTTATTTGATAGAGTCACAGTAAGGACTGACTATGTATATGTAAAGTGCTAAGAATAATGTCTGGCACATAAGCACTCAGTTAACATTAGCAGGGGTTTTAAGGATTCAGACGAGTGGGAAGTCCCTTCCAGCTCAAGTCAACCAGGAAGGCTTCCCAGAGGAGGTGGGATTTGAACTAGACTTGGCATGATGGAGGGAACTCAACTAGGCAGAGAGGAGCAAGGAGGTTAACCCTTTTGGGAACTCAGTTTTAAAAAAGGCAGAGAGAAGGGAGATAGCCAGTGAGGAGGAGACCTCAGGAGAGCAGAGATATTGGTGAAAGGTGCTATTAGGTGGAAGGCCTGCAAAAACTCCGGCTTTTTGTGCCCTCTTGTGTCCTCCTTGGGCACTAACGCACTGCTCCTCGGTGGGCCTTCCCTAACCACCCCCTGAAGGAAAACCTACGCTCTTCTCTGAAAGACACTCTGAGCTCTTCTGAATCTTTCCTCTACCTTGTAGCCAGTAGGAAATTACGTCAGGGTGTGGTAATTAGAGGGAATTACAGAAACTGTGGCCGGTTGCCGCCCCCCCCCCCCGCCCCCCTGCCGCCAACACACATACACTAAGTTCCTACACACAGACTCAGAAAACCATGATTCTATTTTGGGCTTTCGAGTGCTTAGGAAGAAAAAGTGCAGGAAATGGGAAATGAGAAGGAGGCAGCAGAATTCCCATCTGTGCCGACACTGAAAGGTTTTTTAGTACAGAACATGAGAGAAGCTTGGTGAGTCCCTGCAGGGGTGGCTGGACAGGCGCCCATGGGCAGCGCCCGAGAGGGCCGCGGTCATCTCAGAGACAAGAGTCACCAGGCTTCTTTTCTACATTTGTCTGATTAAAGAGAAGAAAATCTCTTTTTAAACATGTGCCCTCGTCTGCTATTTCTAGATTCCTTAAGATTTGGAGGGGGAAAAGATGAAAGATTAATTGAGATAATTTATCTTTAACCCAAGAAGAAGCCCAATGTTGAACTGCAGCAATGAGACGTGAACCAATGGAGTGTAGGGGAGGTGTGATGGACCTGTGCCCGCTGGTGACAGCAGCCATGAAAACAGAAGGATGAAGATGCAAAGCAAAGAGTGAAATCCCAATTATAGTTATCTGTTTATTTATACCCTGACACATTCCCAAATTATTTGAGCCTGCTGAAATTCAAGTTGAGAAGCCCAGCTCTCTGAATGAACACCTGCTAACACCATCGAGCATCACATTTCTTAAAGCAAATGCTAGACACTCTAGAGGGAGAGTTTTTCCACTTAAAAAAAATTTCCTTTCTGCCATGCCACACCATCCTGAGTGGGGAAAAAAAGAGCATTAATCAAGCTGGCAATTCACTTGAATCAAACCTACATTCCCCATCTGTCACTGTTCTAAACGCCACAGAGAGACATGTTTCACAAAGGGAACTTTTCTACATTAAAATTTTTATTGGGGCATAAGAGACAGATATATGCACAAGTCATAAATACGCAGCTGGGTGGATTTTCACAGTGTGAAAATGTCCATGCAGCCAGCATCCTGATCAAGAAACAGAACATTACTGGGATCCCAGAGGCTCCTATCATTTACCCTATACCTTCGAGGGTAACTCCTCCCATGATTTCTAACACCACAGATGACTTGGCCTGCTTTTGAGCTAACATAAATGGAGTCATCGACTCTCTTATAAATTCTTCCACTCAACATTATGTTTGTGAGATTAATTCACAACATTGATTCACTTATTCTCATTGTTGCATAGGATTTATTTATTTAAAATGCCGTGATTCACTTTTTTAAAATAAGATTTTATTTATTTATTCCTGAGAAACACAGAGAGAGAGAGGCTGAGATACCAGCAGAGGGAGAAGCAGGTTCTCTGTGGGGAGCCCGATGTGGAACTTGATCCCAGGTTCCCAGGACCACGACCTGAGCTGAAGGTAGATGCTCAACTGCTGAGCCACACAGGTGTCTCTTACTTACTTATTCTATGGTGAACAGGCCTTTCGGTTCTTTCCAGTTTGGGACCAATGCAATTAATGTTGCTGTGAACATTCTTGTACCTGTCTTGCAGTTGTTGGGATTATACTAGGAATGGAAGTACTGGATACATATTGAGTGTTTGCCATTCTTTGGAAACTATGGAAGAAGGCTAGACACTGGAATAAAATGAGTGAAAAACCCAGTCCTTATTTGCAAGGACCTCACAATCCAGTGAAGGACAGAGCTGAGCTGGCACATACTCTAGGATGTTTGTAGGGGGCATGTGCCAGAGCACCTGGGATGGAGGGGGAGGACAGGGCAGGTGGGAGTCAGGAAGCCTTCCCAAAGGCAATGACTCTCAAATTGACTTCTGAAGAATGAACAGATACAGAAGGAGGAGCAACGTGGAGAAGGCAAGAGAAGAGCACGTGGAAAAGCAGAGACAAGTGAGGAAGTAGGTCAAGTCCAGAGACCATGCATTACAGCAATAGAGAAGGTCGGAGTGTTTGGTGAAGGTGAAGGCCGACTAGACAAGTTGGGAACACACCAGGAAGGACCTTACTTTCCATCTATGGAATACATACATTATCCTGAATGTGATAGGAAGCCATAGAAGATTCTTGGGCCACAGAGGGGCAAGATCAGTTCATGCAGGTGGCTCTGTGGAGACAAGTCTGGGAGCTGAAAAGGGGAAGGGAATGTGGTATCTTAGCAGATGGAAGCTAGGTGATTCTTTGAAGTCTGGTTTTGGCTAATATCCAGTCCAAGAATCTGGATGGCTTCTAATGGAATATGGAGGATGTGCACAGGGATAAGGAGGGTGTGGGTGCCAAGTTTCAATGTGCAGAAACCACACACAGTAATTCATACAGAAAGCTTTTTGGGCCAGGAGGCCACCTGCTGACATCCAGACTGGTGCAGGCAAGGAGCCCTCTGCTCTGGAGTAGAGAAGCAGAGCATATGTGTGAGGAATTCACGCCAGAAAGCGAGTGTACTATAACGTGAGTCTGCAACAGTGGTGCCAAAATCTCATTGCTCTCCACTCCCTCTGGAGACCCAGACAGAATACGGAGTGGAGACCAAGAAGGTCTAATCCCACCTAGATTCCTGATAGACTCGTGAGAGGATTCTAGAAGAGTCTTCTAGCCTCCTCTGATTGAAATCATAAATTCAATAGTAATATTTTATGCATACTTAGCTAATACAGTGGCCTGGATGGAGCCCAGAAACTTGGTGTTAGGACTCTAAATGGATACTTCACATGGCAGAGAGGTATATAAAATGAAATATAATGGGAAGATCCTGATTATTAAATTTCCTTCTAGTATAAAATTGGTACTATATTAGAAAGTATGAGAAATTCATAAATGCAGAGAACATTTGCCCCCTATTCCACAGGCCAAAGAAAGGCATTATTGAGATTTTTCCTCCTCTCCCTCCCCCCTTCCTTCTTTCCTTTCATACACACATTTCTTTTTTTTTTATTTTTAAAGATTTTATTTATTTATTCATGAGAGACACAGAGAGAGAGAGAGGCAGAGACACAGGCAGAGGGAGAAGCAGGCTCCATGCAGGGAGCCTGATGCGGGACTTGATCCTGGGCCTCCAGGATCACACCCTGGGCCAAAGGCAGGTGCTAAACCGCTGAGCCACCCAGGCATCCCCACACATTTCTATACAGTTGTAATCATAAGGCAACCTTCATTTTGGCATAATTGGCATTATCTCATATTGCTTAAAATTTTTGTGACCACAATTTTCCCTTTATTAAAAAAATAAAATTTCAATGCAAAAATTATAGAAAATATTGTGCAGAAAAAAAACACCCCTAAGTTCCCACCACCCAGAGATAATCATTCTCAAATCTTAGTCTCTTCCTTGATTTTGTATGTTCTTATCTATAATAAAAAGATTGCTTTATATTACCTTTAATTTTGCAACTTTTAAAATACTACCTCTGTGTTAGGAACATCTTTCCTAACTGTATCGCATTGTATAGCACCAGGTTTTATTGGAATGATTCCTGTTTTGTGACACTTAAGTTGTTTCCAAATTTTTTTAAAGATTTTTATTTATTTATTAATGAAAGAGAGTGAGAGAGAGGGGCAGAGACACAGGCGGAGGGAGAAGCAGGCTCCATGCAGGGAGCCCGACACGGAACTCGATCCCGGGTCTCCAGGATCACGCCCTGGGCCAAGGGCAGGTGCTAAACCGCTGAGCCACCCAAGGATCCCCTCCAAATTTTCTTAATATAAACAATGCTGCAGTCCTTCAATTTTAAAAAATATATACTCTTTACATGGAATTGCTGAGCTGAAAAGAAAATCTATGTAAATTCTTAAGACTTTGACTACATATTACCAAATTTCTATCTAGGAAGTATATACCAATTTATACTCCCAACAGCAAAGTAGTGCCCATTTCTCTACAACTTCACCAATATTAGGTACCATCAGTTTTAAAAAAATAAAAAACAAAACTCATTAATCTAATGGAAGAAAATAGAATTTTATCATTTTCTTTATTACTAATGAAGTTTTAAATATTTAACTGTTTAAAGCATCATTTTTCTACCAGCATAGTTCTGTCATGTGAATATGCTATTATTTTATGTAAGCATCCTCTATGGAAAGGGGAAAAGTATAAGGAGTTCAGGCCAAAGAGCAAACATTACTACATGCATGTAGAACAATGTGACGAAATCTCACTGCCCTCCATCCCTTCTCAGTAGTCTGAGAACAGAAGTCCATAAAGGCAAAGTAGACTAAATTTCTGTTAATGTGTCTTTTTGTATTTAATATCAAATAAGACAGGAGTCATGTCTTGCCACATGCTCTAATGGACGCTATTCACTCCTCTCAACCATGCACACAGGA